ACTATAATATTTACACGTGTATGCATTTTTTAAATAAGGATAATGCTGTATTTTTGCGTTTTCTGAATCATATTATCCAATAATTGTTTACATTTTGTAGTGTATGTTTATGCACTTTTACTGCATATTAATTTGTGTTTCTAGATCAGGTTATCAATATTTTGGATAAAATAATGTAACATAAGTATTTATTTTAAATGTATATGTTATCTGTTTTAAGAACTTTATTATAATGTGGATATGAAGAGGTTCTTGAAATGTGTTTATTAGCAGGATATAAAGCACTAACAACTGATCAATAGAAACAGGTTTCATCATTATTTTGAATAGTTACACATGCCCTTCTGTTTAAAATTTGTTTAGGTAATTGTATAAAAGAAGAGCCATTCTTAATTAGTTTAATTTATTTATATTAACTTCTAATAAAATAATATTAGCTAAAGCTCAACCGCTATCGTTTTCATTAAATTCAGATAATTTATTAGAATTTTATCTGTTACATTGTTCTGAAACCAGTTAGCAGTATTCGTTTCTTTATCTATTACTGCATTTTCAGTAGTAAAATAGTCCGCCTTTTTCCACATCTACACCTCGTTTTATAAACTCCCCACAGAGGCAGCAATTTACTTTTATTGTAGGCATTGAACGAAGCTGGTTTTTTACTTCGATTTGAAAATAATACTAGATAATCATTTAAAAAATCTGATGTGTCCAACACATGACTTTCCTATCTAGTTATATAAATGTTTAGAGGATAAACTAAATATATACATTGTCCACATACATCTACCTCGAAACATTTTTCTATAGATATTCATGGAAAACGAAAATACTGAAAAATTTTAATTTCCTACAATTTTTTCATTACGGTCCATTTTAGAAAAATCATGTATAAACAAAAATTATAGAGATCGATATCGCAAACAACTTTTATTTCAAAAACTTTCATAATAAAAATCAGAATTTTGCACATTTTGTCAAATTTCTCGAATACGGACCATTTCAGGAAATTTTTACATAAAACAAAAATTACAGATAATAATATTAGAAGTAACTTTTATTTGAACAATTTTCCTCTCCAAACATAAATAACAGATATATTCCATAAAATATAAAAACGGCCTCCCATAAAGTACCCCCCCAGATGTTCCGACTTTGTCCAAAATCTAATAATTTCACGTCAGGCCGAAATAAACCTTAAGTTTAAAATTTAATGTTTTTTTCTTTATCCGTTTTTGAGTTTTTTTCAAAATTCGAAATTTACACATTTTCTCAAATATCTCGAATACGGTCCATTTTAGAGAAATTATGTAAAAAATAAAAATTATAGAAAATTTTATTACAAACAACTTTTATTTGAACAATTTCTATAAAAAAATATTTTTTTACATTTTGTCAAATTTCTCGAATACGGACCATTTTAGGAAAATTTTGTATAAAACACAAATTATAGATAATAATATTAGAAGTAACTTTTATTTAAAGAATTTTCTTCTCCAAACGTAAATAACAGATATATTCCATAAAATATAAAAATTACCACCTATAAAGTACCCCCCCAAATGTTCCGACTCTGCCCAAAATCTAATCAGCTCATTAGACGCTGAAACAAAGCTTAAGTTTAAAATTTGGTGTTTTTCTGTGTATCGGTTCATGAGTTATGCGTTATACAGACACACACACACACACACACACACACACACACACACACACACACAGACACACACACACAGACACACACACACACACACACACACACACACACACACACACACACACACACACACACACACACACACACACACACACACACACACACACACACACACACACACACACACACACACACACACACACACACACACACACACACACACACACACACACACACACACACACACACACACACACACACACACAGACATCATCGCGAAAATAGTCAAAACGGATTCAGGGGACCTCAAAACGTAAAAATCCGTCGAAAACTCGAGGTCGAAAAAAATCATGATTCCTATACTTTCCTTATATCTGTATACAGATAGGAAAGTAAAAATGTGTTAAATCCTTATGTTTCAAATTTATAATAAAACCGGTTCTAACTCTACTCTCAAATGTAGAAACTAAATCTTCCCATTTTACTCGGTTAGATAATTTACTTCTTTCAGTAGTTTATTCCTCGTCCCAAATGATTTAACATTAATTTTTGATTATTAGTCCGAAACATTTTTAAATGACCTACATGGGTTCGTAATTTTCGTAAAGACCCTTTTGAAGTGTTTGCGGTTCGAATAGCTTTGTTACATAACGCTATATTACGTCTTAAAAATGTAAGCCAAATTTCTCCCTGTCTTGTACTAAATTTTGTATTTAAAATATGTTCTACTTCTTTAAATTTTTTAATTATTTTATTGCTTACGTCACATTTTTCATCAGAACTCATTTTTTATCAGGTGTCGGTATTATCTAACGTTTCAGAGCAATTTAAATTTTTTTTTAATATTTTATTACATAAGAGGCAATCACCTAATTTTGGAGATGGTTCCTTAGACCTTAAATCTTTGATAAAAATGAATGCACTGTTACAGATTTATCTCATTGGTATAACAGTTCCTTGGCCCAGAACTCTCATTGGCATTCTCTCTATTTTCTCTCCATGCCCGGAAATACGTGGTATACTTGGTCTAGAACTCTCAATACAGCTCCTTGTCCCAGAACTTTCATTGATATACTGTCTATGGTCTGCTATTGGCCGAGAACTGTCTTAGTCCTACTATTTTGGTCGCCATAAGAGCGTGGGTTTACACCCAATTGTCGATGTGCTTATTATGATGGGTGATATGAGTCTAAAGGACACCTTGCCGCGGTCGGCGTGGTCTTTAAACCGTTACAGCTCGCGCAATCGTTTTTGCGCATACATATTACCAACTGTTTTTTTTTGTCCAGTCATTATTATCGATTTTAAATTTGTGTATCTGTATTGGATAACAAACGCGCTAGTTGTTATCACTTTATTGACTTTGCTAACCTTGCTCTGAATTGATACTTAAGTAAATGTTACAGAGGCGGTTTAGAGTCATTACCATATCCGTCATTAAATTAAACATTATACATGTAATAAAAATGTATTTTTAGCACCAAAAATTAACATATTACAGTTTACTTTTCAGCCCTACACGGAAAAAAAATTGTAGAAAAAATTTCTACAATTGTAGATTTTTTCTCTACAATAAATAGTACATATAGGGACAGGGACAATTTGTAGTAAAAATTTCCAAATATTTGTGGAGAATGTATTGTAGAGTTATTATCTACAATATTTAGTAAAAATATCCAAATGCATCATAAGAATTGTTCTACAAATTGTTATAATTTTTGCTATTCATTGTATGAATTTATATTAAAAATGTATTGCGTTTTATGAAAATAAATACGAAAATTTTACACAATAAATAGTAAAAATTCATACAAATTGTAATATTTTTAATAAAATTTGTAGTAGTATTCCATAATTATTATAATTATAACCTAGAAAAAAATGTTTCTTAATAAAATATTCAATTTATTGTTTTAATATAAAAGATACAAATTTTTAATTACATTATGTAATAAATAACAGTAATAATAGCGCCCTCAGTCTCAGTTGGCTTTTCTGCACCTGAAAAATATGAAATAAAAATTAATACCAATTGACCTGTTCATACCCTTAAAACGGGGATATTTATCACCTTTACACTGATTTGGATATTAAATGACTAAGTCAGATAACTAACAAAAATGAGAAAGTAGGTATGTCACAATTAAGACAAAAAAATATCATTGAACTTGACACAAAATTCGATCGTTGGGCACAACATTCGATCGTTGGCCACAACTATTTTTTTTAAATAATCTACTAAGGTTATTTAAATTAGTTATCTAAAGGTAAATTATTCAGAAACAATGTTAAATGTACTTACCACCAATAGAATTTATTATTAAAATTTTCTCAAACGCATCGGTGTTTATAATATAATAATGTGTTATAGGTACTCGTATATGTACCATGCTTTGTTATGTGAACATGGCGAACGGCTACTGCTGTCTGGCCGTTTATGATCGACGTCAGAAAACGTTGGCCAATAGCAGAATTTTGTTTTGTTCACATGACTAAGAATTTCTACAATATTGTAGAATATTTTTCAACAAAATTGAATGTTTATTATAAGAAGGGATGTAAAGTATTACTATTTTTTGTAGAGAAAATTACTATTTTTTGTAGAGATAATTATTAATATTTGTACAAATTTTTACAGAAGTTAGTAGTAGTAATTACGATAATTGTAATAAATTTCTACTTCTACAAACAATAGTAAAATATACTAAACATTGTGGACTTCTTTCCTATTGTTGTAGCATTTTATTCGACAATTCGATTGCTACAATAATTAATAGTTTTTAACTATAAATTGTAGTAAAATTTTCTACAAATTGTTAAGTATTTTTCTACAAGTCTACTACTACAACATTGTAGTAAAATTTTCTAGTCACATTTTTTTCCGTGTAAGTATTTTTTTACCCAACGATAGATGATACTCGCGTTTACCTTGAACACTTGAACTGTTTGATTTTTGGTAATAGTTTATGATATGATTAGTCAGATGTGTTCGGCGACGACAATATATAGTCTACAACGTTACATAAGTATGGGAGTGTAACTAAAGAATTATATTTATTTTGTTACATATCCCAGCATAAATGTAATGTCACTTTAATAGCATGACAATATTTATTGACGACCTGGCCATATTAAACTTGTCATTAATCGAGCTGTAACTTTTTCTACCTATATAAGTACTTTGAATATATTTTGAGAGTTTTACTATTTAAATTATTTACTGAAAATATTTTATTTTGCCTTCAAAATGCCTAAAATATTTTCTGAAAAAACCTAATAATTTAGTACGTTGCCCCAAAAAATATATATATAATATTAATTTAATAAAAACATTTCTTCTTTTTAGCTGCAATGAAGAGAGCCAATCCATTTGAAAAATCACATTCAAACTCCTTTAGATACTTATTGCTATTTCAAAAGCAAATTACGATACTAATAGAGAAGACTTTTGAGAATCCAAATGTCAAAGAATTATTAAATTCTGATGAAACATTTGATATTGTCATTGTAGAACAAATCACTAACGAAGCTTTTAAATATTTTGCCCATCATTTTAAAGCGCACCTAGTTATGTTCTCATCAATAGCAGCTGATAGTAAAATAAACTACGTAGTTGCCAATCCGACAATGATTTCGTATACTCCACTGGTTGATACAGATTTCTCGAGAGAAATGAGCTTGTATCAAAGGATTCACAACTTCTTACTGTATATAAATGAAGCTATTATCTATCGTTATCATTGGTTGCCCTTTCAGAACACTTTATTACAGAAATATTTTCCTGGATCGCCATCTATGCTCGAATTAAATTACAATGTATCACTTGTTCTCGTTAATTCACATGAAAGCATTCAACCTGCTATTCCTCTGGTTCCAAATATGATTCCTATTGGTGGATTTCACATCAATAAACCGAAATCTTTACCGCAAGATCTTCAAAAATATTTGGATGAAGCTACTGAAGGGGTGGTATATGCTAGTTTTGGTTCATCTGTAAAAGCTAAAAGTTTACCAAATGACAAAAAGGAAGCTTTACTGAAAACTTTTGGTAGTGTTAAGGAAAAGGTTTTGTGGAAATGGGAAGGTGATGAAATTAAAAATTTGCCGTCGAATGTCAAAACAGCAAAATGGTTTCCACAAAGAGAAATATTGGGTATGTAACATTTGTATATTTAGGACCAGGAAAAATAAAATTTTATTTAGAGGATAACAGAAAATATATTACTTTCACCTTCAGATAGCCATATTTACCAGTTATCGCCAGGTTAATTTATTTGGGTGTGTTACCAGTGTACATTGATTTTATCCAACAGTTTAAAGTTAAGAGCATGAAAAAGCTATAGGATCAAAAGGGGAACTTATGTCATCTATCAAAATCGTTGATAATTATTCCAAATTACCAAAACTACTTTATGACATATTACTCAATGATTTGATAATTAAATGTATTTATAAATGTTATAGAATATGAAAACTTCTTTATTATGAATGTATAATACACTACTCGAACTGTAATAGTACTTTACGTTATAAGCCCGTTAACTAGATCTTTACATGCGAAAACGTTTTATGACCGTGTGAGCACGTAGAGATCAAGTAACGGGCATGTATTGTACAACGTTTTAAAATGTGCTGCAATATACTACGTTTTACAACCTAAAATCAAATAAAATTTTATCATTTGACACCATTATTACAAGTTTTCGAATGTGACTTAAAATAATGACATTTTAGTTACAACTGCATGTCCGTTGTTCGCACATAACGATCGCACCCCAGCGTTCGAAATGTTTATTAGCCATTGAGCAGAAGACTGGGCATCCATATGTAAAAATGGGTCGTAGAACTTGTCTGTCTAGCAACAGCTTGTTTCGTATTGTTACCCCCGCTAGGTTTATAAAGTATGGGGTATAGGGTTTTGATTGCTCCTATTGTTTTTGCAGCTCTATCTGCTATATAATGTCTGAATGTAAGTCCGCTATCAAGAATGAAGCTGAGATATTTAATTTTGTTGTCTGTATTGATAGTTTTCCCTTGTACTTTTATTTTAATTTTTTATTCTCAGATTTTCTTTTAGTTAATAGTACACTCTCTATTTTCTCTGCGTTAATTTTGATATTATTTTCATCCAAGTAGGTGACTAGTATTCTATTTACATGGATGGGCTATCTCTGCTGAATGTGATGTCTTGTAGATATAAGTGTCATCGGTGTATAGGGCCGTCTGTATACCATTTTGTCCCATTGACATGTCATGGGTCTAAATAGTATACAGGTGAGGCGCCAATACCGAGCCTTGTACTCCCGCCTGCACTGTGGAAGGTCCTCTATGTGTGTTTTTAATCTTAATGAAAAATTGTCTATTATGAAGGTATTTTTGTATTATTTTTACAATGTAAATAGGGTAGTCATTCTCAAACATTTTGAGTATCAAACCGTCGGTCCAGACAGTGTCGAAGGCCTTAGCAGCATTGACTGCAACAAGTACAGTTTGTAGTTTGTTAATAAAAGCTTTTTTTTGCGCTGTGTGCAATTCTGATTATTTGTGCCGTCGTGCTGTGTCCGGTCCTAAAACCGTACTGTTCCGCCGTACTGTCCTGTTCGTATGTCATAAGTCTTGTCTATTATTTTGGCTAACCCGTTCAACAATGAAATGGGCCTGTAGCTGTGCACAAGATCTTTGGGTTTGTTCCCCTTCAGTATTGGGATTATAATAGCCCTTTTTTAGGACTCTGGGTAAAATTGGAGCTTAAGAATTGCATTTATTAAGTAATGTAAATGCACTTTGGCTTTTTTAGTAAAGTTTTTAATTAGAATATTTGGGATTTCGTCGGGTCGCGGAGCCTCGATCTCCCCATTGGCGAGTCACGTCACCGTGCAGTCTTCCGTCGGACTAGTATATGTCCTGGTAAAATAATGGCTAGTGGATTTGTCGCAGTGAGAAGGGTGTTGCTGCGTATGTCCTTGTTAATTGTCCCTTCTGTATAGGTCCAACTTCTCGTGTAAGCATCCATGCCTCCTGTCTCCGACATTTCCGCTGTGCTGAGAGATAGTATGCCTTCCTTGACGTTATCCGGAAGACTATGTTTGAAGAATTTCTCAGCGACAGCAGTAATATAGTCTTTGACAGTGGGCGTGGATGTTTCGTGGTGCATGTCTGTTATTCTGGCGTGGCGGTCGTACCACAGGGCCAGCCGAAGATACTTGTTTTGTATTCTTTGAAGTTTTTAAATGTGGCTTTCCGCTATTAAGCAGAAAACTGAAGATCCGTACGTTACTGTAGACCTGATGCATTTATTTTCTTACTATTCTTGTTATATAATACAAAAGAGGAGAAAGTACAAATATGGGCTACCATTTTTATTTTTAACGATAGCATAAGTCATAGAAACTGATCTAGTGCTTTGTGCTTCTTTATTTTTTTTTGTTGGTGTCCCAGCCCAGCATTTCAGCCAGCAGTAGTAGCAAAAACATTAACATTGTCTACATTCAACCCATTTACATGTACAATAATGTACATGATTTATCAGCTAAAAGCAGAACACAATAGTTCTCTGCAAAATGTAAACAACGTTACCTGAAAAATTGCTCATATATAAATTCAACAATTAAATCAATGTATATTATTTTTAAAGGACTTATATCAATTATTATGTTAACTATAAATATTATAATATAAATATTTGCAAAAAAATAATAGTTGTGTATTAATAAACCTGTTGGTACTCCAAAAAATATATTTTTTATTGATAATCAGGTATCAAAGTATGTGTACCTATAGAAATTTGTTGAAATATGTTCTATTGCTCTTAATCTTTTTAATAGGTTCTTATTATAAATGTAAATAAAAATCAACACTTTTTATCCGTCTATTTAACACAAACATGTGCATATTTTAAGTTGTACGGATCCGTAGCCTCTTATTTTTTTACATTAGACACAAGACCTGTGATGTCACATTAAATCGTGAATATGAGGTAAAGGTTTTGGGAGTTGTTTTTCAGTCTAATTTGAAGTTCAATAACCATTTCTTACATATGACTAAAAAGCAATAAAAGATTTGGGTGTGTAGTCACTTAGTTTAAAGTCAATTTTAAATTAGTGAGTTTAATAAGAATGTCAAATAGTGATATTTTTATTACAAGTGTAAAAACTACGAAAACCATATACATAGTTCCTATTTTTAAATAAATTCAAATTAATTCACAATAAAAAGTAACGATTTTTGTCTGCCATACTTGAATTCATTCATAAAAACCATTCACTAAGTATATATTTCTAAAAAAAAAACTGCACTAAATATGTCTTCGTTTTAAATTTTTATATTTATATCTACATACCTATAGATTTTGAAGTACCTATATAACGTATAGAATAAAATTCTACAATATACTAGAAAAGTTTTAATTCTTAAAAATAAAGCAAAACCTCTATTTTGTTACTCTAACCTTGTGTTATATATATTTCCCTTAACAAACTAACGTTATGTTTTGAACTAAAAGTAATTAAACTTTTCACTAAAAAGTAATATTTCAGTTTCGAAATTCAAACAGTTTTGACACTCAATCATATACATAAAAATTTTTTTAAATAGTTCTGTCCTTTTTACATTTGCGAAGACTGCCCTGATATCTAATCGATTTTTTTCTTCAATTGCCTCTATAAAGGTATCTCACATCTCGCTCATACACACGAATTTGAAAAGTAGCAGAACAAAAATTTAACTAACTAACCAAGTCCGTGTAAAGAAAACTTTTCATATCCTGAAAACGTCAAGTATCAACCAACATTTCTACTTTTAAAGATCAGAGTGCCAGTACTTATTAATACATATACTGGGGTTTTACTGCATTTGTCTTCTACCATGGATGATAGATGGCACAATGCTTATTATAGTTAATTCGGTAGCCCATATTACAAGCATAGCTCATATTTGTACCTTATTCTCCTCTACTATTACAATTCAGGATAATATAGACATTTTAATATATTTTTCTTAAGATATCTTTACCTGTAGTTAATATCTAGTATTCTGAAACATTTCATTGATGGGTTAGAATGTATAAGAATTATTTTTAGCTCATCCAAATGTTAAACTTTTCATAACGCAAGGAGGCCTGCTGAGTTTAACTGAAACAATTTATAATGGAGTACCGGTTTTGGTTATTCCGATTTTTGGTGATCAAGCAATGAACGCTCAAATGGTCATTTCAAATGGCTATGGTCTTAGTCTTCCATTTCATGATCCAGAATTTTCCGATGAGAAACTTACCCCAATTTTGAAAGAACTTTTGAGCAATCCAAAGTAAGTAAACCAGAAGGTGATTACAGCACCCCCTTATAATTTTCGGACAAGGATATCTCAAAAAGTAATTTTTTTAAAAAATTAAAATTTTGGCAAAATATATAAGGCAAAAATATCTAAAATATGCATATATTTTAAAATTTTAATTTCTTCCAGTTTCCGAGAAAAAAAATCAAAGGGCTTTAAATTTTGAGATATCATAATGAAAATAAATGCATTCCTCAACAGCACTATTCTTAATATAATCCCCAAATTTAAGCTCTTAATCTCTTGGTAATGTTTTTTTAAAATTCGACGAAATTAGTGGCTAAAAGGCCTCGTTAAGTGCTATTTTCTGGTTTAAACTGGTGTAAACTGGTGTAAATCATTGCAAGAAACGAATGATGACTCAGAGTGTACGATACGATAGTTACAGACGCGTTACACTAGAAAGAAGCACTTAACGAGGCGTTTTAGCCACTAATTTCGGCGAATTTTAAAAAATCATTAACAAGAGATTAAGAGCTTAAATTTAGGGATTATATTAAAAATAGTGCTGTTGAGGAATGCATTTATTTTCATTATGATATTTCAAAATTTAAAGCCCTTTGATTATTTTTCTCGGAAACTGGAAGGAATTAAACTTTAAAAAATATGCATATTCTAGATATTATTGCCTAATTTATTTTGCCCAAATTTAAATTTTCTAAAAAAATCACTTTTTGAGATATCCTTGTCCGAAAATTATAAGGGGGTGCTGTAATCACCTTAATATTAAATAACATTTGTTTGTTTTGTTCGTGGAGCTTATCGTCGAAAAGTATGTGATTTTGACAAAATATTCAGAAACTGTTTTATATACTCGTAATGTTTATTCAAAATGTTTAAAAATAATTTCATGCCATTAGATATTTACTTATAATATGTATAAACGTTTTTTTTACAGGTATAAAGACAATGCACTGAAAAGATCTCAAATTTTCCATGATCGGGAAATGGATCCACTTCAAAAAGCCGTTTACTGGATCGAATATGTCATACGCCACAACGGCGCACCCCAGTTAAGGGTTTGGGGTGTCAATCTACCCTGGTATCAACTTTATTCATTAGATGTGATAGGAATTTTAGTTACAATTATTGGTCTTATATTTATATTTATTTACATTATTATAAAATATTTATTATCTTTTATTACTAAAAAGAATAGTGATATAAAATATAAGCAATCAAAAGGTACTAAAAAAATTAAAAAAAATTAAAAAAATTGTAAATTTTTGTTTGATTTATTTGTATTTTTTTCACCCCAGTTTTTTTGAACTTTCCATCGAAGAGGAGCCAGGGAGTTTTAAAATTATTATTCCCAAATTCGCAGTAGGTAATTTGTTTTCCAAAAACTGTTCTCTCATTGTATAACTTTTTAAAAGGATAGGAAAATTTGTAAAATTAAGCAGATGGTGATTAAAACTACTTTTTTCTGATAATCATAATTATTTATTTTTCTACAAATAATATTGTTTTATGTAAAACGATCCAATTATTCCAGCTTATCACACTAACCTTATTTTTTCGTTGTAATGCAAAAAATGAAATTTTACTTTGTAATATGATCTTGTTATTTTATCTATTTTTATTGTGTTCTAAGCTCTATGATTTTGGGGAGTGGGTCAGGTTATTAAACAACTCGTATTACTTTGAAAAAGAATGTTGAGCGCCACTATATTTATAACTTCAATCGATTAGTGATGAAAATATAGAAAATCACTAACCAATAAGATATTATATATAATTAAATAAGGTTTCAGATAAGGCAGCGACAAATTCTAATTCACAGAGACTTACTTATTCAAATTTAAATGATTTATTATAGACTTATCTGTGGTGTAACAGGTAGTATTTTAGGAGTGACTGTAGAGGCCTTCTTCTAGAGGATTCATATGAGATACTTCGGATATAACCAACTCATCAAGTATAAATCTTCCTAGGTAAACTTAAATCTCATAAACTTCTTATATGACTCGAACTAAACCTCTTGAGATACTTGAAATCACCTTCTGTAGCTGGAACTTAACTTCTAAGTTTCTAGACTTCTAAACATGCAGCTAGAACGTTATTCCAAACAATCTTTTTTGATAAAACTTCTACAGAACCATCGATATAACTTCTATAGAACCATCTAGATACAGCTAGGCTACAAGGAAAAAGGTAAAAATATCAAGAAAGGGACTAGTGAGTTTATATAGGAAACAGATAAAATGCTTTTTACTATTAAATAAACAATTTAAATTATTAAGTGAATAGTTTCACAGAGACCAAATTAATAGGAAAAGAAAAAGTCTTATTTAACATATTTAAAAATAGTAAAGATTATCATCTGCTACTCAATATTGAGGTAATGTTTCAGATTTGACATTTTAATTAGAATTTCTTGTACAAAATATATATTTTCTACAAAATATCGGTAGGAAACTTACCTTTTTAAAATCGGACGGTCATTAAAAACATTAAAGACAATTAGTACATCGGATGTCCAAGATAAAAGATAATTTTCAAATCAACCTATTCGTTGACAGAGACGAATCGAAATGACAATCCAAGTTTTGACACAAGCCATAGACGACAAATGTCGTTAGGGTAGAGATGTTTGCGTTTAAATAACGAAAACAGTTCCAACCGTTACAATGTCAACCGTTACAATGTTTGGGTCTAAATAACGAAAACGGTTCCAACCTTTACAACTTGTGAAGATCAGTACAATTTAACTAATGTAGGGGAGACTGAGGTATAATGATCCCCTTAAAGTTAATTTCGTTATATTTTTGCAAGTAGAGGGATATAAATTTATTTGTCTTTTCTGAAGGATTTGGTGTCCATTTGACAACAATTCAGTATTTAAAAAGTTGTTGATTTTTTTCACATTTTGGAATGAAAATGATGTTTTTTAATATTTGCAAAAGGACCATTTTACTCAAATGCTAGAGGTAAAATGATCCCACACATGGGGCAAAGAGGATCCTATTTTTAAAACATTATTTTATTACTACACTTTCGATAAATAATACAATAATGAATGCAAAAATTGGTTTATTTATAAAAAAATCATAAACATAACATACAAAGCATTAAAACATTTTTAATACTCTTAAGGGAGTAAACAGAAACTTGCTAAATATTATTTAACAAAATTACCTTAAGCATCTTTTAATACATTAACTAATTTAAAACTTGATATTTTTCTTAACTCGATAGGTTTGGGTTTGATGCAAACAGAAATCACACTCAAAAACGCAATCGTTCTTATCGACCCCGGCACACTGATCATGAGCCTATTCTAGGCATTTAATGCATCTGATCCATTCTTCGCCAGTCAAAGAAGCAGCGTATTTTTCGCAGCAAAAGATGCACTCTTCTGATTCTGATCCGCTGGTACTGCTGGAGTCATCACTTTTCTCTACTACTCTTTTTGTCTTCTTGTTTAATTTAACTTTTTTCGTGCTTTCTGATTTTGACTTGTTTTTATTTTTATTTTTTCTTAGCCTCTAGTTCATTTTTTTTTTCCTATTCTCCTCTTCAAGCATGATTTTGTATGGGGTACTCAATTTTGAAGCTGAATACCAAACTGGGGTACAAAAGAGCTTTCTGCACACAATGAGCTCTCCATTAATGCTACAGCGTCCAAACATTGTGAATTATATCCAGTCATACAAAGTAATTTAAAAATTATTTATGGCTCTTCCACCAACGACAGAGTTAATCGAAAGAACGTTTAGCACGCTTGGTTTTTAAGAACCTTCCGTCGCGAAATTTGCCGACGAAGTTCGACGACGGAATGCGTTCGCGAATTCTGTTCGCAAAGTTCGTAGGACACCCTGTTTTTTTAAGAAGACAGATTGACCTTTAATTGGACGGAAATGATCAATTTCAGTACGCAAATCAGTGCTATGGCTATGGAGGGGTTTTTACAGCTTTTATTAGAGGAAGAATTTGCTGATGAAGAAGACGAGTTGCTGCTGGAGCTATTAAAAAATGAAAAATAGGATTACATTTATTTAAAAATAAAGAAAAATTTCGAGAATATTTTCGGTTGTCGCCAGTTTTGTTTGATGAAGTTCTAAGATCTAAAGCCTTGGTTTTTAAGAACCTTCCGTCGCGAAATTTGCCGACGAAGTTCGTCGAGAGAATGCGTTCGCGAATTCCTTTCGCAAAGTTTGTACGACACCGTGTTTTTTTAAGAAGACAGATTGACCGTTTAATTGGACGGAAATGATCAATTTCAGTACGCAAATAAGAAGTTTACAATCTGTGCTGTGGGTATGGAGGGTTTTTTACAGCTTTTATTAGAGGAAGAATTTGCTGATGAAGAAGACGAGTTGCTGCTGGAGATATTAAAAAATTAAAAAAAAAAACACTTTTAAATCAAGAAAATCAGAAGAAAACTCTGAAGCACTAATTAAACGACGTTTATTTAAAAATAAAGAAAAATTTCGAGAATATTTTTTATTGACGCCAGTTCTAAGTTATATTAGAAATGATATAGAAACGAAACCTTGCAATAGGCACACAAAACCAATTACACCAGAAGAAAAACTAAGTATAACTTTAGGTACAATGACTATAGAATAAGTAAAATTAACCAAAAATATTTTTCAATTTACAAGCAAAATTAACACGCAAAATAGAAAATAAAATAATCATTGTCAAAAAAGGTTCCGTAATAACTACTTTAATATAGTGAATTCTGCTAATGTAATTGTATCTTCGATTGTATCACCTAGTGGAGGTTGTGCTACCACTGAAAAATTGCCGTATGTTTGCTCATGATGGGGTGTATTACTGCCGTCGCCGATCGTGATGGAACTGGGTGTATGTGGTATGGTACCAGACTCTGATGTAACTGCGCTACTAGAATAATGTATGGAGTATGTTGGTGAAGATAACTGTAGATAGAAAACTGATCTCTGTTGGTGCTGTCCACACATCTGCAATTATTTTCCATATATTTTTTTTTAATAGTATGTCCCTGTAACTTTTGTTTCTGACACCATACGAAAGAGGATTTTTTTCACCAGATCTATCAATTTCTCCTCATCTTCGTTGAAAAATTGGAGCTGTTCATAACTTCTATTGGGCATTTTTTATAATTTTAATGTCCATACCTCACGAATTTCAAACAAGAACTGACAGCGGAATTGCGCTGAAACCAAATATGTTTTGATTCCAACGGACAACGCCGGCGTATTCCGTTAAAAATAAACGCGCAACAGGTTTTAAAAAACAGACGGTTTGGATAGTACATTTTTAAATACGGCGAACTTCGCGAACGCATTCCGTCGACGAACTTCGTCGGCAAAGTTCACGACGGAATGTTCTTAAAAATCAAGCCTTAAGTTCTAAGATCCATCCATTTCTCCTCATCTTCGTCGGAAAATTGGAGCTGTTGATAACTTTTATTGGACATATTTTATAACTATAATGTCCACACCTCACAAATTTCAAACAAGAACTGACAGCGGAATTGCGCTGAAACCAAATATGTTTTGATTCCAACGGACAACGCCGGCGCATTCCGTTAAAAATAAACCCCTAACAGGTTTTAAAAAACGGATGGTTTGGATAATACATTTTTAAATACGGCGAACTTCGCGAATGCATTCCGTCGACGAACTTCGTCGGCAAAGTTCGCGACGGAATGTTCTTAAAAACCAAGACTTTAGGCATCTTAAAACATGGCTGCGGTCTATTCGATCAGTGCGAAGTCATGGTAGGGGAAGCAAAAGCGATACTAGCGCAAGCTGCAGATAATTCGAGTACTTTAGGGCGATATTTACATTTTACTTTTTACTAAAAAAAAAATAGGTTAAAAACAATAAAATGAGCAACCGGAGTTGCTATGTTGCAAATTATACTAGCAAAAAAACTGTAAATTATAGAAATTTTCAGTAGCAAAATCGAAATTAAATCAAAGAAATAAATGGACAGCTGTGTAATAAGAAGAAAAAAAACCTTTATTTTTGTAATAATAACAGTAATACGGAAAACAATAGACATCAGAAAAGGTTTTAAATAAACATAAATTATTATTTTATGATATTCTTCAACATCCCTTAATTCTTAAATGTTTAGCAAATGATTAGATTTCTGCCTTTGACTATGGTATATGGCTGAAATGCCATCTTGTGACTTGTTGATAGGAAACCAGTTTTAATTATTAATTTCTATGGTTTCTTTCGAACTAAAAATAAAGAAAATATAAATTACAATCACAAATAGGTATATCAATTATTTTTGTTAATACGTTTTAATTCTACGTTATTATATAATGGTAATGTTTTTATTTTGACATTATTTAACCTATTCTTCAATGACAACTTATTAGGCTTAGGCAAGATCTCATACATTTTCTCGTAAATACCTGCCTTTGTTTTATTATTGATTTTTATTGTTTTTTATTGATTTTTATTGATTTTTATTGATTTTTATTGATTTTTATTGATTTTTATTGATTTTTATTGATTTTTATTGATTTTTATTGATTTTTATTGATTTTTATTGATTTTTATTGATTTTTATTGATTTTTATTGATTTTTATTGATTTTTATTGATTTTTATTGATTTTTATTGATTTTTATTGATTTTTATTGATTTTTATTGATTTTTATTGATTTTTATTGATTTTTATTAATTTTACTACTTTTTTAGCTGTAAAAGTAATAAAAATATATAATAATAATAATAATTTTTTGCTTGTTTTACAAATTCATATACTTTTATTAAAATTAACATATATATTTTTTAATTACGAACTCTATTAAAAATTGTATTGTAAGTATACGCAAATATCGTCCGTTAGTTCATAAAATAGCTGGCGCTGCTGTCACGCACAGAGCGAATAATGAATGAAAATAGGCTGACTGAAAAATAAATTATGTTTTCTGTTATCGATGTTTTTAGTAGAGAAAAAAAAATTTAAAATTTGTTCTGTTTCCTACTGTTTTTTTTTGTGTTCATCGTCGTGTTTGCGTGAGTTTTTTCATGTTTTTGTTTTTTATAAATTTTTATTTTTTATATTATGTATGGGTGTGTCTTCTTGTTCATATTTTTCTTTTATATCACACATTCTGTTTGTTTTTTAAAAATAATGTGTTTTAAGTTTACCTTGTTTTTTCTTTATTTTAGTTTTTGTCTTCTTTGTTGGGCTATTTTATTTATTTATGACAACTTGAGTATCAGTTCTGTCAAATAGGTCAGTGACATTGTTAGGGTTACTACTAAAGTTCCACTACCCCTTATCTTCGCTATTCAGTGAGATATCGGAATAATTTTGTTCTGTTTGAAAGACTCGAACATATACTTTTTTATGATGGATTCAATTGTTCTGTGATGTCATGGCTTACTTCCGGTTTTTCCGGAAATAACAGAAAATCAAAATTATTTTTAATTTTAAAAGGAAATCCTCTTTTTTATTGTAAACTTAAATTTCTGGGACATTTTTGTATAATGATCGTGTATTTTAAATTATCTGTCAGCTGTCTAAATGGCCGCCATATTGGATAATATTTTTTCTTAATATGTTTCTATTAATTCGTTTATGGAAAAACATATAGGAATGTACGAACTTTATAAAATCTTTTTAGACTTCAAAATTCCCATTGAGACCTATTTACCGTATACCAGTGGCGTATCTAAGCATTTTTATTAATCGCAAACCATTTAATAATTCCATCCGCTTTTATCTTTGTTGTTAATTGAGATATTGGAATATTAACTTATTTGGTTTGTGACTTCTTGGCTTACTTTTGTTTTATTGGAAATAACAGAAAATCTCAATTTATTTTTATTTTTTAAATAGAAACCTCCTTTTATTAAAAATTTGAATTTTAGGGACATTTATGGATAAGAATCATGTGTCGAAAATTTTCTATCAGCTGTCAAAATGACCATCAGATTGAAAAATATTTTTTTAATGTTTTCAATACACGCTTCTTTTAAAAAAATGTCCCAGAAATTCAAATTTTTAATAAGAAAAAGTGTTTTCATTTAAAAATATAAAATTAATTGTGATTTTCTGTTATTTCTGAAAAACCGGAAGTAAACAATGACGTCACAGAATAATGAAATCCACCATAAGAAAATTCTCTATCATTTTCCATTTTCTTTGTTTTCCAACAAATAAACATTTTAAATTTTTTCAAAATTTTGCTCCTCCATATAGAATTGTGTAACGACGCCCTTGGTATCTAGATATACAAGACCCTGCGGATAAAAGAAATCCGTATAAATGATAAGACCTATTCAATTGATAAAACGGTATGTAAGTGACCTTAACTTTAATGGTATTTATTTAGAATCATTTAAGTATACCTGAACATATTTTTTATTCAAGATGAGTTATTTTTATGAACCAAAAATAATGCCAACAATTTTTTAATTTATGTACCCCCAGACAGTTATGATAGAATTATAAAACTTTTTAAACTGACATATTTTTCAACATATCACAACTATATATTAACAAAGATTTAATTAATTCTCCAAATATTATTCTTAAAAAATAATGTGAGAATTCTAGACATAACAAAAAAAAATATCGTCTAAGCTGCAGACAATAGCAAAAAACCACATGACATCTGTTTTCGAACCCTTAAGAAAAATGGCTTGTCTCAAAAAGATTTTTTTTATACTACATCGAGATTCACCTCAGCGTTTGAAGTACCTGACTACGGGCGGCCTCTTGTATCCACAAAGAATTCTCGACAACACTCAACTTGACAAATTGGCTGATTATAATTTTTAATCAGTCCCGAAAGTAATGCCCTAATCTCCTACTAAACACGCCTAAATATAAACATGCTTCCTGCTACTGACTAGTAAATCTTCGTCTGCATGCCTCCTCAGGACCGGATTGAAAAATTAAGTGTCATAATAGGGATTCTCTTTATCCTTTTTCTTTTAAAAAAATATATTCCATTCGTATTAATCAAATTTATTTATTTTTTTTACATATTATAGTGAGAATAAATTTCAATCTAAGTATACACACAATAACAAACGATAGAGACAGCAACGGGTAATTCTTCTCAATTTCAGGAATTGATAGACATTTACGTATAAACATAGGTTTCATTAATATTTTTTTTTAATTTATTCTCCTTTCGAGAAAAAATATACATTAAAATCGTGGTTTTTAAAGTTTAAAGCGTTACGTTCATTATTTTACATTTGGCAACGGTGCCAAGTAGTTGACGATAGACGTGAAGGGTCCAACACCACAGTTACATCTAAACTGAGTGAAGAAAAAAAAACAATGCATTGATAACAACAAAAGTAGCAACAACTTCACCATCGGCTCAAGACACTACTAGTGGCAACCAAATTAGAAAAAAAAAAACGCAATGACAAATCAGCAGAAAATATCAAAAAATACAGGAGCTGTTTTTAAGCTCTCTGGAAATACTACTCCAATTCAGATACTACATATACATACAAAAGACACTAATAACTAGAAAAAATTCAGTAAATAGATAAGACATTTTAGCTCGCATTTTGGTGATATAAGTTTTAAATTAGTTATTTTTGATAGAAGTTATGGATTCTTTTACTAATAAATACATATTCTTAATAAAGCAAAGCTATTATGGATATAACAAGGCGCATAAAAAATTATAAAAAACTATAAAAAAAGTGACTTTTGATTGCCTTATCTCCTTTTACGCAATCTTCATATTCACTTTACACAATAATAATAGAGTGTGATTTTTATGAATACTTTATTATCTTAAGTTCAAAATGTATACAAAAAGATAACTTGGTCCATAGTTTAGTCCTCTTTTTCAGAGGAGGCATCAGGAAATACATCAACTGGTAACTAACTGTTTGTAAATTTTTATAAAAATCCCAATTCCCATTAGAAATGTATGGAAGTAGCTCAATAAGGTTTTGTTTTTTTTTTTACTTGTGATTGAAATAGGTTTTTCATAAGCAATTTTTGGAATATGTCGTTCCACCTGGTTTTTAGAACGACCTCGTTTTTCAAAACTAAGTATTTTGAATTCTTCATTTTCATCCAGGGAATTTTTGTACAACAGTATATCTTTGTTCTTTTTATACCTGATCCATCTGACTTCTCTCCAATTGAATTTGTTGCTCACGCTGTCTTGTTTTCTATTTACCAATGATTTGGAATGTAGCCCCGAGAACTCAAAAAAATCTGTCGTTTGCATTTCGTAAACTTCAAACGGTTTCTTTTTCTCTACTGAACGTATAAGTTGTGCCCAGTTATGGGATGTTCAATTTTTAGAGTACTTCTTTTTTTCAATAAGAATTTGATCTGTGTCACATTCCATATGCGTGTGTCCTGGTAATAGATATTTATGGTCAATTATGGACAAATTTGTAGAATCTTGCAAAGCTACTATGCAGGTAGCCGAAATAAAGCTATTTTTATTTTGACCCCCGCAAGAATCCGAGTACATGATAATATGGGTCATAGCAGGATCAAGATGACTTGTTAAGTAGCGGTAAATGCAAGAATCAATATCATTGCCACGTCTTTTTGCTAGGGATTCATACCAAAGAAAACAATAAGCCTGGCCATCATCGCAATCGTGAACTGTGAGGTCGTATGTCCAAAGTTGTCGTTTTTAAACGTTTTACCAATTTGGCAGGTCTGGAGTTGGTAGACACTGTTGTAAGTCAGAACATATCGTTTTCTTTTGGGGATTTGACATAGACGATGTTCTGTCTGCTTCGTTAGATGTATAATCCATATCAGCCATTTCAGTCTTCAAGCTGTTTTTTTCTTTATCGGTGCTGGCCATTGTTAATTTCATTTGCAGTTTGTCGCATGTATCCTTTTTCGGCTGTTTAATCTTTATATTTAGGCTGTGAAAAATCGCTTCGTAAGCTTTCCTATTAATAAAATTTCCCGGATATTTTTCTTTGTAGGCTTGGTATAAAGAACTTAATGCATAATGTTGTGGCAAATATTTCTTGGTGGATTGCCTCCTCTGGCAATTTGTTTGTCATTTTCATTAATTATGTTTCTCCTGTCCTTATGAGTTCCCATTTGATCCAAGCTTATTATGCCCTAGATACGGCTCTCTTCTTTTTTTTTAACGAAACTTCAATAAACTTATTACTTAAATCAAATGTTTTTTTAAAACATTCTTTTCATGTACATTGCAAGTTGTTGTTTATTCTGAAATAATAGACTGCAGTACCTATACGTTGCTTATGCTATCTGCTTTACGTATGCAAATAACCTTCTTATCTTGTAAAGTAATCAAATCGCTTATATACTGAGCCCTTCTGTCATAGCTGCCCATAGCCTAAAAATTGTTAAACAAAACCAATCTTACGTCGTTATTAATTTTTTCAACACAGCTGTTTCTGCATTTTTTCAATTCCTTTAAACACTTTTTCCGAACTGTCTTATTCTTTTTGGTACAATACTCCTGTCCTGTATTGTGTTTTACTTTTCTATTTCTTCGGATTTTTCCAGTTTCTTTGACTTTTTTTGCTACCTGATTTGTATTATCTTGTTGGTTCTTCTTTGTCAGCTGCTTGTTTTAATGCATCGCCAAGTTTTTTTCGCTTTTTTTGTGCTGATTGATTCTCTTGAACATCTTCCAAATCATCATCATTAGGAACGTAATGAGGATCGATATCATCGTCATCAAAGTCGAAAATTCCTGCAAACTTTTCCTGTATTTCTAAAGGCAAAGAAGGCGCAGGACTGGACCCTTCTGAATCTAAAAATGTTATGACTCCTTTGCATATTTCCATCTTTGCAAGGTTTTGATGTACTTTGTTCCGAATTATTACCAGAAGATAAACTTTTGTCACAGCTTTTACTTTCTAAACCATAAAAAATAAAAATATGTGTAACTATTATTGCTTTAAAAATCGACTTATAAAATTCATCTTACCTGCAATCTGCTGCCCGACATTACTATTCGTAACTTCTTATTCTAAATTTCCAGTATCTGGAACATAAAGATTAACATCTTGAACTTTTCTATGAACAACTTAAACAAAACGTAAAAAATAATAAAATTAATATTACCTGATAAACTTTGATTGTCGTTTGATTCTGTTTGAAGCATTTGGAAAATTTTCAGAGCTCTAGAAGACATGTTTAGCACTATTTGATCAACCTGCTGTTACACTGCATACTAAAAATATAAACAATACATTTTGGAGGTTATGTCGTTACTAATACAGGTAGGTATAAGTAAAAATTAATTGAATATACAACGGTGTAAAAGGAGGCAAGTCAACTTGTCTCCATGTAGTTTATCCGTGGTTTGTGTAAAATGAGCTAACATGACTTTTCCCGTTTTACACATAATAAAGGATACAATTTTATGACTTACTTTTTTCTAATATTGTAAATATCTTGTGGTACATACAGATATGACTTATCTCGTTTTCCCCGAGCATTGACAGTGGTTTTTTGGTTTGAAATATGACTTAACTCCAATTTAAAGAAAATGTGACTTTTTCACGCGCATCAGCGAAATAATTTAAGGTTTTGATTTTGTTTTATGTCCAATTTTTTTTAAACTGGAATAAAAACAGAATATATAAATTAAAAAATGAATCGAAAGTATTTAAAGTGTGTAGGTAGAGCTTTATTAATAAAACTCAGTAATATTAGTCTGAGCGCTTTCAGCCTGTTAGGCCATCATCAGAGACACTACAAAGAGAGAAAAAACGGAGCTATAACAATATAATCAAATCGTGATATTCCTGAACATTAAATAAAAAATAAAACATCTTGAAAACTTACTCGTCAATAAATGTAGAAGAAGCATGAACATTAATATATAACTAGATTAAAAAGGGTTGCCACAATACGGTCCCTGTTCTCCACCATAACTTGAGGCTTGAGTCGTAAGAAATAACAGAACCACTCCTAAAAGGTAGTTGCAATTTAAGAAACAACGTGGGGCTCATCCCAACACGTAGAAATAAACAATCTCACTTATTCAAAGGTAGAGAAAGATAAAAACTGTACTTCAGCATGAAGCCAGCTGACCCTTCCAAGTCGCTGCCGAGAGGCGGAGGCAAGTTGGGGCACGTACCCATCTTGACAGTGCCAAAAAGAACTGAGTGACAATTGACAGTTGACAATAAAGTTATCAAGACAATTGCCAACTTGAGAAATAGAAATGAATTTCATGAGAAATGATCAAAAGTTAATATTGACAAAGATAAAAGTGGGTTGGTACCACTGAACTAGCAAGCACAAGTTATGGAGGGAATTTTAAATTTTAAACAACCAAACATTACAATGATTAAATAGAATTATAAAATATACAGTGAATGAAGGTAAAAACACATTTTTTATATAAAATTATTGGAATTAAAAGGTGCCTGACTAAAAACAACAGAATTGAGCATGCCGACCCCAGCGAAACCGAAGTCGCAGGCAGACCAACTTTTCCAGCTATAAGAGGAGGAAAAACCGTCCTGGCCACAAAATCAGATATCACCGGAGAAGACAAGATCAACTCCGCTGTAAGAAGATTCATGGATAAGCTAGCTAGGTAACTTCAGACCAACCGTTGCCAATACTCTTAAAGAGATGAGGCACTTTGCTATTGAGATGGATTTGAGTATTAACACATGTGACATTAGTTTTATTAAACTCTCGGTGCATATATAAATTAGTTAATCAAATATTTTTAATTTTTATAGTTAAATATAAGGCAAATTTGAAATTTTACTACTTTCTTATTGCTTATAATTATTATACATATTTGTTATTTATATGCAGAACTACAAGATCATAAGTAAGTCAAAAACAAATAGTATTAATGTCATTAAAGGTAGCTCATCTTTATACACGATCTCTAGTTCCGCATTTCAATGAATTTCGATACTTCATACAAAATGAAGACCTAAATAAATTTAATTTATTACCTTTAAAACGGTCTGGATTTCGCAGTGGACATAGTTGTGCCACTGAGGTCTGTACACTTGGCACCACAACATTGCAAAAAGGGTGAAAAATGTGTGAGAGGTTTGTCCATCGTTTGCCCATTATTGCCCATGAAATGACTTTTTTGCCCACCCTCTGTTTTTTCATAAAATTTTAATAATTTAATTTCACGGCATAATAGCATTTCGTTGGCCCATAAATTAGTTTTTTCAAAAAATTAGAGAAAATAAAAAAATATTCACAAAAATGCAATATGACAACTGGAGTGCGTTTAGAAACCTCGCACGGCGCGTCTGGACCCTATTCTAATGTATGTGGTGAAACGCGCCGTGCGAGGTTTCTAAATGCACTCCTGCATTAGATAATCATTCGTTAGCCCATGTTTGCCCAATTTTTTGTTTCACAAATTTCCATAACGATCTTTAAAAAAAAATTAATTAAAAAAGGGATTTGATGACAATTCCACTATCCGAGATTTATACGAATTTATTTGTTATAAAAAAAATGGGCAAACATCGAAATAACGCCAAAATATTTGTGAGTTACTAAAAAATATTTTCTGAGGATTGCCCATTTTTTTTTAAATCCTCGTATAATAGGGGGGGGCGGCTTAAACTCTGATAATAATGCTTTTTTATGTGTTTATTAGTGATATAAAAATGGGCAAACATCAAAATAATTTTAAAAAAAGTGTAAGTAACTAAGAAAGGTATTCTGAGGATTGCCCATTTTTAACAAAAAATCGTTCCCAATAGGGGGGTATAAACTCCGATAATAGTACATTTCTGTGTTTTTACTTAATATAAAAAAATGGGCAAACATCGAAATGATCCCAAAATAAGTGTAAATTACTAAGAAAGGTATTCTGAGGATTGTCCATTTATAAAAAAAATCCTTGTCCAATAGGGGGGCATAAACTCCGATAACAGTGCATTTATGTGTGTTTATCTGATATAAAAAAATCGGCAAACATCGAAATGATTCCAAAATAATTATAAGTTGCTAAGAAATGTATTTTGAGGTTTGCCCATTTTTTAAAAAATATCCTCGTCCAATAGGGGGGCTTAATCTCCGATAATAGTGCATTTCTATGTTTTTACTTAATATAAAAAAATTAGCCAACATCGAAATGATTCAAAAGTAAGTGTAAGTTGATAAAAAAATGTATTCTGAAGTTATTTAGAGAAAATAACTAATTTTAAAATAATTTATGATTTTTAACTAACTTTTTTTATTTTATTTAATTAGTCCCAAGTCCAGATTTGAATTCGGGCCTCTCGCGTGGAAGACAGACGCCGATTCCTCACCTCCACGGCTATATTTACGATTTCAGTTTTAATCCTCGTAATTAAATTACCTCAACTTTCTATTTAGATTTGAAAATGCAAAAGCCTACTTTGGATAGTGATCGTAGAAAATAGTAGTTTGTGCAACAAGAGTGGATATGGACAATCCACTCAAGCTGTACAGTATATATTTTCTACGACTTACTAACGAAAACCTAATAATTTTAAAATAATTTATGATTTTAACTTATAAAATAAAATAAACTTTAAAAAAAGATTTCATTTAATTAGTCCTCAGCCCAGATTTGAACTCGGGCTTCTCGCATGGAAGACAGACTCTGTTGCCTCACCCCCACGGCTACAGTTACGATTTCAGTTTTAATTCTCGTAATTAAATTAGTCTCATATAGTTTGATTAAAAATTAAAATTTATTTCTAAATGGTGACAAAATAAAAATTGAAATGGTATTATTTTTTTGATTTTACACAAGAATAACTAATTTTTACGTATATTTAATGTCAATAACTAAAAAATTTACTGACAGTTTGAAAGAATTGTCACTTATATAAAATTTTAAAAAATACT